CCCAAACAAGCTGATAACGTCTGTCACCACCCGAACACAGATGCAATCACAGAGTTGCAAGGTCACACTCACATACACACACACACACACATACAGGAACACGTACAGACATACACATTCTCATATTCTGGTGCAAACATTCTGCACATGCTTGTGTTCTGAAAGGGATCCATCCTGGACGGACTTACATCTATACACACATTCACACTCACTTTGTCAGACTCTAGTTTCCTTGTGCTGTAAATCTCAAGGACACACAACACCTCCAAATCCAAGGCCCGAGTCTGTCCTTCCTGGTAATAACGCTTAACAGCTGGGCATGCTATCCACTCGTAGCACCGAGATATATAAAGATACAATTGCACGTTCAGGCGTGTTTTGGTGGTATGCTTAGTGGTGCCATGTAATCTTTTGAGCAAAGTCGAAGGCTGCTTGACTAGATAGTATATGGTAGACAAACTTTAGAATCCTAGGGAAATTCCTGTGATATACAAGAAGTCCCCAACTGTAGCTGTCAAAGAATATGTATGAAGTACTGTAGGATGTTCTTAAGTGTTTTGTGCGAGTTCTACAGCTGTCCCACAAACTCCGATCACCTGTTGTTTGGCCTTCATTGTTTTGATACAAATGAAACATTAGATCTGTGGGTTATTCTGACCACCCATCTCCATAATCTGCCCTTTTGTTTAGGTTGCATTCCTCACACGTCATGTCATGTCAACAACTGAGCCATTTCTATTTTAAAATATAAATCCTATTGGAGTACGTCTCAAGGTAGCACCATTAACAATCGTCAAGAGTGAGAGTATTATACTCTCTGAGGAATGTGCCTTTCCCATATTTAATCCCTTTTTTATTGTTGGCTAGCTCAAGTGCTTCAGCCAGGTGCAAGGGTGATAAATTTAATGACTCTTCTTTGGTCTGTGTATAATCTTCAGTGCAGTGGAGGCATCAACGGAGGAGAAATGGCCATTTTTGCCTCCAGGGCTGGACCGAGCCCCTGTTGGCACCCTGCCTGCTTTGTGTGCGCCACCTGTCAAGAAATGCTTGTGGATCTTATTTACTTCTACCACAACGGCAAAGTACTCTGTGGAAGACACCACGCTGAGCTTCTCAAACCACGATGCTCTTCATGTGATGAGGTAAGTGCCATCATAAACAAACAACTGAAAGACTATAACAACTGTAAACAACCCATGTTTACAGTGAGCCACGCAACTAAGACGATGCTTCCTGTTTCCCCTCAGATCATTTTTGCAGATGAGTGCACCGAAGCAGAAGGTCGCCACTGGCACATGAAGCATTTTGCTTGCTTTGAGTGTGAAATAATGCTAGGTGGGCAGCGCTACATCATGAAAGACGGCCGACCATACTGCTGCGGCTGCTTTGAGTCCCTGTATGCCGAGTACTGTGAGGCTTGTGGCGAAAATATCGGTAAGAAATTGAACATGTTACTGATGCTCAAAACTAACCACAACCATTCTTAACCATACCTAAAAGTTGTTTATTTGTGACTTTGTAGGTGTTGACCATGCCCAGATGACCTACGAAGGTGTACACTGGCACGCCACAGACCAGTGTTTCTGCTGTGCTCAATGCAAGACGTCCTTGTTGGGTTGTCCGTTCCTTCCAAAGCAGGGTCGCATTTACTGTTCAAAGGCCTGCAGCCAAGGAGAGGACATTCATGCCTCTGACTCTTCAGATTCGGCTTTTCAGTCCGCTCGTTCACGTGAATCAAGGCGCAG